GTGTATACGTACAGAATTTCATGAAAGGTCATTTACGTGTTCAATAAAACACCATGTTATCAACCTTTGTAGAGTATTGTACTGACATTTAGGCGTTGTGTTAATAGCTACTAAACTGTTCTAACGGTATTTTCGAGACAATAAACAGCAAGAACAGGAATTTAAGATTATATAACGAAAACACTATGTGAGACACTAAAAAAACATATGTAACAAACCTATAATAGTACACTTATAGGTGGTTGGTGGTTCATTTGTGATTAGACATGGTGACAGTCATGTAGCCAACAAAATAACAAAAGACTAGCGTTTCAAGGGTATTATATTTTACCATTTATTTTGCCTCATTTCCGTAAATACCTATCCAGCTTTTGTAAACACAAGATTGCTTCATTAATTAAACCGACTCTAAAAATGTTGTCACTAATTGTCTCTGTCTTTCGACAATCTTTGTTAATGGTTCTGTAGAAACGTCACTTATTTTTAGTAATTTATAGCATACAAAGTACAAACGTGTATGGTATTGACGTCAAAATGTAAGAAATATATTCATGAAAGGTAATAAAACACGTACCTACTTAGATTACATAACTTTCGGTGCTTTGAAATCTTAAATGTTAATAGTTAATTTTAAAAGCAAATGAGAAATAGTTTAGAATTTATTTAACCGTTTAGCGGATGTTACTGCCCATAAGTATTGTTGATTTCAGTCACTTATTAAATGTCTTGCGGTTAATATTAAAATAAAAATATATGATATTTAAAGTCGTAGAAGTTAGAAGACAAATAGATGGTAATAATGTTTCTCGTAATTTTAAGCTGTAATAGTCAAATTTTTAGAAAATATGTAACTATAATAGATAATTTAATATTGATAAATGCCTACTTTCTACAATTAAAACTAACAAAATCTTTATGTGAACATAAGGGCTCATTAAAAGTGAGCCCTTGGGAGTTATTTCTCCGAAATCATTTACTACAAAACAATAAAATTTGGAACTGAATATAGCTGCTATGTTGTGAATATAATAGTTAAAAAATAATGTCTAAATTTTAATGAGGGCATGTCGGGCCTTGAACTGATTGCGATATTATTGATTAAATAATTATATTTCGTTTACCTGAACACAATTATATCGAATTATCCCACAATTTTGGTTATTAGATCAATCTTTAATAACACAGGTGGACAATTTTTTTATTTTTTTGTTTTAGAGACGTGGTGACACCTATGTTTGATAAAATTTTCTGATGAATCAGAAAGTGATATAAAAAAATCTGACATATGGATTTCTCCTCCCCCCCACACCCTCAATTCCCCCCAAAAATTAAAAAAATTTGGCCATCCAACCCACCTATCTTTAGTAAAAATTTTTGCTGAATCCGAAATTGATAAAAAAAAAATTCTGACGTATGAAATTTCCTCCCACACATCCTCAATTTTCCCCAAAAATTAAAAAAATCTAAACTAGCCATCCAACCCATATCTTTAGCAAAATTTTCCGCTGAATCCGAAATTGATAAAAAAAATTCTGACGTATGAAATTTTCTCCCGCACATCCTCAATTTTCCCCAAAAATTCAAAAAATCCAACCTAGCCATCCAACCCACGTATCTTTAGTAAAATTTTCCGCTGAATCCGAAATTGATAAAAAAAAAATTCTGACATGAATTTTCCCCCACACACCTCAATTTTCCTCATAAATTCAAAATATCCAAATTGGCCATCCAACCCACGTATCTTTAGTAAAATTTTCCGCTGAATCCGAAATTGATAAAAAAATTCTGACTTATGAATTTTCCCCCACACCCCTATTTTCCCCAAAAATTCAAAAAAATTCAAACTGGCCATCCAACCCACCTATATTTAGTAAAATTTTTTGCTGAATCCGAAATTGATAAAAAAAATTCTGACGTATGAAATTTTCTCCCACACATCCTCAATTTTCCCCAAAAATTCAAAAAACCAACTTAGCCATCCAACCCACGTATCTTTAGTAAAATTTTCCGCTGAATCCGAAACTGATAAAAAAAAATTCTGACAAGAATTTTCCCCCACACACCTCAATTTTCCCCATAAATTCAAAATACCCAAATTGGCCATCCAACCCACGTATCTTTAGTAAAATTTTCCGCTGAATCCGAAATTGATAAAAAAAATTCTGACTTATGAATTTTCCCCCACACTTTAATTTTCCCCAAAAATTAAAAAAATACAAACTGGCCATCCTACCTTTAGTATAGTTTTCCGTTGAAACCAAAATTGATAAAAATAAAATTTTCTTACGTATGGATTCCCTGTACACACCAAATTACACTCAAGAAAACAAAATGGACTTTGATCAAAGGCTAGCTGCCAAAAAAAATTCATGAGCATTATTTTTATTTTTGGAAGAAGCAAGTGAAAGGTACGGATGAGTATATATAATTTTACTAAAGATAGGTAGGTTGGAGGGACAGTTTGGATTTTTTTAATTTTTGGGGGGAATTGAGGGTGTCATAATTTTTTTTATCGTTTCCGGATTCAGCGAAAAATTTTACTAAAGATTGATAGGGTTCAAGAATTTCTTGGATAAGGTCACATTTCTAAAACAAAAAAAGAATATTGTCGACCTGTGTAGTTAATGGATGTAGGCAATCACCTCTACATGTGTGTTAAGTAGAAAGTATAAAAAGATGATTTTTTTGCTTTGATATAATTTTTAGGAACACAGTTCTAATAATAGTAATAATTTTAATCATTGTAGTTATCTGCTGTTTGGGAAAGCAAAAAAAATAATTAATAATTAAAAAGTAATTGCTATTACATATATAATTATTGTTGTTTGGAAGAGGTTCTAATAAAATTTTATTAAAACACATCAAATTGCCAATTTGCTGCTTTTGAACAAGCAGCATCGTAAATTACAAATTTCTTTACACTAAAAAAGGAATTTACGTTTCAAACCAAGTCCATTTATAGAAAATCTGCGTTAAAATGGGGGAAAGTCTGTTATTTATGCAATCATTCATATTTAAACAAACTGTGTAATAAAATCTATAAAAATGTATTGCTGGTTGCCTATTTGCTATAGAGCCCTCTTAAGTTATATTTAATTTTAAATATATACTAAGTAGAAAATTTTTCTACTTGTTTACTTTGAATGAATATATTTAAAATTAAATTTAAAATAAATTCAAATTTAAACTACAACCTGTTACAAGCCACAAAATAGTTCCAAAATATTTCAGAAGATGGCGCTTGGCGCGTCGCATATTTTACTATGGTACTTTCCACGGACCACCTAGACTGACTTATAGAGCGACTTTGGTGAAAACACTTTGGAGCCTGATTTGGAGCCCAGCGCTCAGTCGTGTCCTAGCATTTGACGTGTACGCATCGCTGTGATTTCGATAATTAGACGTTTTATCATGGGCAAGTGTATTGTAAAACATTGTATAAATAGAAGTGATCGAGTTGGTGAAGAGAGGCGAAAAGTTTCCTTCTTTAGGTAAGTAAAAAAAAGGAATATATAAAAGGTAAATATGTACGCCATTTTTCGGTTAACGTCACAAGTTTCCAGGGTTAGCTTTATAATTTTGTTCGCCCACATAGTGTAGTGATTAACGTGATATTGTTATTATAAAATAATGAATGAATTACTGTAAAATATTTTTAGTAATTATTTACTTTATGTGAGTCTTAAATTTTTATGAAATTTTACCAATTCCCGTCATTTCGAGATAGCTGAAAATTAATTAAATATTTTTTTCAATTAAAAAAATCGCAAACAAAACTAATTTCAGATTCAGTATTCGTACAGTCAATTAATTTTTATTAAAGATCGTGGTTGTTTGACGTATCCATCTCGAGATGTCGTAGTAATATGCTAAGAAACAGAAAAATTAATAAAATTTTTAAATAATGATGAAAGCAGAACACCTAGGCTACAGAAAAATAAAATTGTTTATCATGTATTAAAAAACTTTCTGAATGTGAACATATTTGAAAATTTGCATGAACATCAATTTGATAATTTGCCTAACAATTGTAATCATTTAATAGAACTTGTAAGGGCTGAATGTGAAAAGTATATCGATGTACGAATAAATCATGAAGTCAAATTATTTAATTCGGTAAAATCTACGAAAAGGCAAATATTAAATAAATTAATATTATTTAGAGGATAATAAATATATTTAAATTATTTTGTAGTTTTATTTAATATGACACTAAAATATACTATTTTCTGAATTACAAACTTAAAATTGAATATTTGTCATAAGATGCAATATAATATTTAATATGTAATAAAAATATTACTTAATCCGGATCTGCTTAATGATGCGCGCGATAAGATTGCCTACCACGCTCCACTACCCCGGATTTTGCATTCACTGGTACCCGTGCATTGGAATTAGATACGACCAGTCTAGGTGGTCTGTGGTACTTTCAAATCAAAATATCTACCAGTATATGTAGGCAACCAACGCTACGCAAATGTTAAGCTGGAAGAATAAACCGGCAATAACCAATAAAAAGTTGTTTTATGGACGTAGTTGAAAACAAATTACTTATTATGATAATTGAGATTGCACTCCGGTAGAGTAAAAAAATGCATGACTAATTATATAAGTTAAAAAATCGTGAAAAGATATATCACAGAATAGGAAATTGATGAGATGTAGGCAACTAACAATACGCGTATGTTGCGCGGAAAGAATAAGGTACCAAGGAACGTTTCGCTTTGAATAGCCAGAAGAGAGCCCTACCCGGCGGGGCCCAGCCAGGACAAAAGGAGGTCCCACAAAGCGCCTACACCGGCAGCATTTGCGGTCGGAGTAGACGACGGATGAGGCCCACCTACGAAGGCTGTACGGGCCTACACGAGATGAGGCAGGATAAAGAGGGATAATCCCCCTCGATCCCAAATCATTGAGGCCAATTTCTAGCCATGGAATAATGGCCCTTTGAATTTTTATGGCAAAGGTAAATAAGGAAAAAAGAAACAACTAGTTGATACAATATAATTAATTTAATAGAGTAGAAATTCTAATAAAAAATCATGAAAACATATATCAAATTATCACACAGTGGGTTATCATGAATATGTAAACGGATAAATCTCCCATATTAAGTGTATCAAATACAAGCAGCCGGCTAATATAAAGTAGTGCCTTGAGGGTATCACATCTTGCAGCAATTAGGCCTGACGGAGAACATGCTCACACCGGTGCCGTGCGAATAGATTACAATTTATTAAGAAAACTTTCCTCCAGAGACGGGTACACTTTCAGATCCAAATTCAACCTAAGAAAAAATCAATTAATCCTACGAAACAAACAAAAATTATCGTCATCCTCACTTTTTGAACCCGGCAGCGATCTCGTCCGCCTTGGACGGGTCCGTTACGAGCGCCGTCTTAATTTTAGACGGATCGAACAAAGGCGCGACGTATTTCTCACCCACTCGGTTCAGGTCCTCCGTTGTTACTTTGTTGATCAATTCGAGGAGCGTTCTGAAAAAAATTGCCATCGAGTGGGTTTAGGTCAGGTGATTCAGGTGGACGTTTGCCGTAATCGTACAGCGCGTCTGGAAACCGAGTGAAAAATTTAGTCGGTGATTTTACTTGTAAGAATGCTAGTACCAGCTCGTTTTAAAATTGCAATATTAAGGAGTTACATAACCTCAAAATAGGATTGCCTCGAGTTACTGGTCTAGTGCCGTGTCGGTGCTGTTCGAACAGAACTGAATTATAAAATATATTAAAAATGGACTTTATATTTTTGGTTTCTCAACAGATAAAACTTTGTACAGGTCTCGATGCTGTGCAATTCTACAAACTGACGTAGTAGGCTATTGAATAGAGGATTTTAAAAGGAACTATGACGTTCAAGATATTTTATTGCATGAATCGTTCAAATGGTTATTTTAGATGAAAAAATCGCGGAGTGCTATTAAATTAGAGGGTGGAAATTGGAGATAGGGGTGAAAATGCACCCATTTCAGTTTTTTAATTGTAGCTCGAAAACAAAGCAAAATTTCGCTGTAGTTCATACGAAAAATTATTTAGAGAATTGAATTTTCCATTGAAAAGGCTTATTTTAAAAAATTTAAAATGAAAATTTTATGCAAAAAAAATCGTTAATAAACAATTTGAAGAAAAAAGCAAAAAATTCTATTTTCTGAATTATTTTACTTTTTTGCCTCTAAGTTTGTTTTTTGAGTAAATATAGGTATAGGTATTGTTTCATAGAAAAAAAAGTAGATAATATTTCCTTCAAAACAAGAGGTTGTAAAGTATTTTTGGATGAAAATAAAACAGCCAATTTTTCGATTTTCGTCGTGTTTACCCTTATACGTTTTAATTCTCATTTCTTGCAAAAAAGGAAGGAAATAAGACTTTTAAGGATTTTCATCAAATGACTTGTTGGAAGGGTCATTAAAAATGAAAAAGCCGCGGGGTGCTATTAAATTAGAGGGTTGAAATTAAAGATAGGGGCAAAAAAGCACTTTTGCAGTTTTTTGAATATAGCACGAAAACGAAGCAAAATTTCGGTATAGTTCATAGGAAAAATTTTGTAGAATTGAATTTCTCATTGAATTTAAGTACAATAAAGTTTATTAATAATGTATATACAGTGTGTCCACAGATGGAGTTGACAAGAGGAGAAACTCTTTTGTTTTTGACTTTATCGAAAAATGTCACTCTTTATAAAAAGTTCTGCCCCTCGAAAAAATGAGACTGTCATACAAACGTCTTAGATTAGATACACAGGGTGCTCATAAATTAAAAAAACACGAAAATACTCAAGAGAGAAGTACCATTATTTATTATTTTACACATTTTTATAAAACAAATCTGTTTATATCCTCAAATAATGTCCTAATACAAATTTTAAATAAAAATTTCAATTCTGACTTTTAGTCTATACAGGGTGTCCCGAAATTCATGCAACAAAATTTGATCACAGATTCTTAAGACAAATTTAGGGAACTCCTACTTTTTATTTTTGCCAAGTGGCCCCTTCTTTTGGAGTTACAGGCCCCTGAAGTCCGCCCTTAAAAATAATCTTTTTTTTATATCTCAGAACCCCGTTTTACGAGAATCACTAAATTTGGTACGCAGAGGTTTTTAAGACAATTTTTCGTGGTCCCCCTTGTCTTTGGAGCCAAAAAAATTTGATCACATATTTAAATTTCTTAAAAATTATCAGTCCACTAGAAAGCCATTAAATTTAGAAACTTTTTGTCACTTTATACTTTTTTCGTAAAACGCAATGTTTTCGAGAAAAATGTCAAAATGTGATCGAATGCATATCGTGATTCGCCATTTTCCTCAAAAACATTGCGTTTTACGAAAAAAATATCAAGAAACAAAAAAGTTTCTAAATTCAATGGCTTTCTAGCTAACTAATAATTTTAAAAAAAATCAAATTTGCGATCAAATTTTTCTGATTCCAAAGACAAGGGGGCCCACGAAAAAGTGTCTTAAGGGGGTTTCTCGCCAAAAAGCGTAGCACTTTGAGATTCCACATGTCATAAAACCCCTGTGTAGCAAATTTAGTGATTCTCGTACAACATGGTTTTGAGATTTAAAAAAGACTTCTTAAGGGCGGACTTCAGGGGGCTGTAACTCCGAAAGAGGGGGCCAGTTGGCAAAAAGAAAAAATACAGGTCCCCTAAATTTGTCTTAAGAATCTATGACCAAATTTTGTTGCATGAATTTCGGGATACCCTGTATGTATAGCTAGTTCCCACCTCAAAAATTGAAATTTTGATTTTAAAATTTGTATTAGGACATTATTTGAGGTTATAAACAGATTTGTTCCATAAAAATGTGTAAAATAATAAATAATGGTACTTCTCTCTGGACTATTTTCGTATTTTTTTAATTTATGAGCACCCTGTATATCTCATCTAAGATGTTTGTATGACAGTCTCATTTTTTCGAGGGGCAGAGAGTGACATTTTTCGATAAAATCAGAAACAAGAGTTTTTCTCCTCTTGTCAACTCCATCCGTGGGCATACTGTATATACATTATTAATAAACTTTATTGTTCTTAAATTCTCAAGTTTTTACAAAATTATTTTATTAAAAAATTAATAAAAACCAAGAAATTTAATGCTTTCTTTAAAATTATTTATTAACGATTTTTTGCATAGAGAAATTCAATTCTCTACAATATTTTTTCCATGAACTATACCGAAATTTTGCTTCGTTTTCGTCCTACATTTAAAAAACTGCAAAAGTTCATTTTCACCCCTATCCCTCTAATTTAATAGCACCCCCCGGTTTTTTCATTTTTAATGACCCTTCTAACAAGTCGTGATGAAAATCCTTAAACGTCTTATTGCCTTTCTTTTTTTGCAAAAAATGAGAATTAATACATATGAGGGTAAACACGACAAAAATCGAAAAACTGGCTAAGTTTGAGCCAATTTCCATCCAAAAATACTTCACAACCTCTTGTGTTGAAGAAAATTTTATCTACTTTTTTTTCTATGAAGCAATGCCTATACCTATCTTTACTCAAAAATAAACTAGAGGCAAAAAAGTAAAAAGAAAACAGAAAATCCAATTTTTTGTTTCTTTTTAAATTGTTTATTACCAATTTTTTTGCATAAAATTATCCTTTTAAATTTAAAAAAAAAGCCATTTCGATGGGAAATTCAATTCTCTAAATAATATTTCCTATGAACTATACCGAAATTTTGCTTCATTTTCGAGCTACAATTAAAAAACTGAAAGGGGTGCATTTTCACCCCTATCTCCAATTTCCACCCTCTAATTTAATAGCACTCCGCGGTTTTTTCATCTAAAATGACCCTTTGAACGATTCATGCAATAAAATTGCTTGAACGTCATAGTTCCTTTTAACTCTGTTTTTTTGGATATAGTCAATAGCCTATAATTCCATGAAAGCATTGAGATTCGTCATTAAATTTTTTTTTAAATACATATTCATGGCAATAGCATCCCACAAAATAACTCTATAGAGTATTTTTGTTCCATAAAGAAGTATAAGACACACATAAGCATAAAGGAGAATCTTACAGCTGCCATACTGGGTATTTTTATTACATGACCTAAATATATGACCAACATTCAACAGTTTCAATTAATGTATCTAAGTGGTCATTACACTGAAGCCGTTGACTATATCATCACATGCTGATAATACGGTGATAAATTTATTTTAAAAAAAGTTAAATTACTTCCCGCCCTCTAAATTTTTTTTCCTATACTTTCCAAACACACTTTAAAACTTCACAAATACAAAAAAAAACAATACCTGTTAAATTTGTAATCAACGTTCTGGAAGTACGAGAATATCGACAACGCCACGACGTTCCCGATCGTCTTCTCCTCGTCGATGATCTCGAAAATAAGAGAACTCTTCGCCGACTCCAACAAGGCGCTATCCCACTCCCTCGCCTCCAATTGCTTAGCGACGATGTCCTTCGTCTCCTTGTAAGCACCGACGACGTTGGTCGCCTTCGCGTATATCAGATACAGAAGGCCCTCGTTCACTTTAACCATGATGGCGTAGTTGTAGGAATAGCCCTTGCCTCGAATTTGCTTCCAGAGGGGTCCCTAGAACGGAACGTTTGTAACACCTGTGGCGGCGATGAGGTTTTTTTTTTAATACCTCCGCTTGGGTCAAGTATTGGAGGTACAGCATTAAGGCCGGTAGATCGGGATCGGTGTAGGAAGTTATGCTCTTCGTCGACTGGAAGAAAAACGATGATTCCAGGCAGCCCATGCCTATTATGCAGCCGTTTAACGGGCTGGGGTCGAGCAACTTATAATCGGGAGTTACGTTCAGGCTAAAAGAAATTTTATCAAAAAAATAACGTCATAATAACATGGGATGAGAATTTTATTTTACAGGACGTAGAATCCATAAAGGTGGGCAATTTTATAAAAAAAAGTACCTAAAAAGGATAATTCCTAAGTTGACATTATTTCAGTGTTTTGTTCTATGTATTTTTTAAATAATCCCACGTTTCAGGAAACAATTGACACCTCTGTCCGCCTTTAATTTATGGGAAATGTTGACAAAGTTCAATTGTAGCATCTCATTTATAAGTTGAATGTTTTTTTTAAGAAATCAACTGACATAATAGCACGGGATGAGATTTTTTTTTTTACAGGACGTAGAATCCATAAAGGTGGGCTATTTTATAAAAAAAAGTACCTAAAAAGGGTAATTCCTAAGTTGACTTTATTTCAGTTTTTTGTTCTATGTATCTTTTAAATAATCCCACGTTTCAGGAAACAATTGACGTCTCTGTCCGCCTTTAATTTATGGGGAATGTTGACAAAGTGCAATTGTAGCATCTCATTTATAAGTTGAATTGGTTTGTGTTAAGAAATCAACCGACATAATAACACAGGATGAGAATTGTTTTTTACAGGACGTAGAATCCATAAAGACGGGTAATTTTATTAAAAAAAGTACCTAAAAAGGGTAATTCCTAAGTTGACATTATTTCAGTTTTTTGTTCTATGTATTTTTTAAATAATCCCACGTTCCAGGGAACAATTGACGTCTCTGTCCGTCTTTAATTTATGGGGAATGTTGACAAAGTACAATTGTGGCATCTCATTTATAAGTTGAATGGTTTTTGTTAAGAAATCAATCGACACGGTATATATTTATTTGTCAATTAGTTTAAAGGTGTCACGGGTCTGTACAACTCAAAATGTGAGGTATTTGAGGTAGAAATTCTAGAAAACGTATCAAATGGGTACTAGCAAAATTTTGTCAATGGAACATCACAATTTTAGAAAATTTACAGATGAAGTAACGTTTACACTAAATAAAGTGAAAATATCCAAAACTTTGTTACTTACCGCTGTCGTTTTTCTGCGACGCCAACTTCCGAGGGCAAAAATTCGTTGATCGGCGCAACAGGATCTTTCAAATAATCCAAATTGCCGGCGATGTACAGCACAACGTTCAACGGCTCCGTGATTATTTTCCTAAGTTTTTCCACCTTGTCTATAACCTCTTTACTCGCATCGCTGTCCAGTTGCGAGATCATCTCGGTCAAGAACCTATTTTGCTGCAGCAGCCCGTTCTTCGCAACGTTACTATCTGAAAACAAAAAACGAAATAACTCTGCCGATTGGACTTAAATCAGGTCACCTAGACGGCCACTAAAACCAAAATCATTTTAAACTGACAAAGTGTAATGAAACTCACCCTTTGAATAATACATCCCCTTGAGCGCGTAGGAAACGACGCTCCTTCCGCTACGTTTCACCTGCGCCGCGGAATTATTCATCTTCAACGCCACCACCTTCAGCCTTTCCGCCGTGAAGACGGTCTTGTACAGCAGCTCCTTCAACCATTTCAAACCGATCTCGTACTTAGACGCCTCGACTTGCAGGTTCACGATACAGGTCTGAGAGTAGTTGCCGCATTTAAAAAGGCACCTCCCGCCTCCTAAACCGATGGACGTGCAGCTGGAGACAGTGTCGTCGTTCAGCTGCGCCACGACGTCGTCGTAGGGAATTATTTTGCCGTCCCGCTCTACGGGAAGCTCCAGGAGGGATTCCAGGAGCAGCGGGAGGTAATCTCGCAGCTCCGACGGGACGCCGGAAGTATCAAGCAGCGCGAAAATCTGTAACGAATTGTTTTTATTGCTGTCGGGTGAGAAATTAATTAATGACTTATTTCGGTACTCACGTAGACGAAACTTGTTTTCAAGTGGTCGAAGTACGTAAAGATGGGCGTCCCGGATAGGTCTATGGGTTGTTTCGTGTCGGAATCCGTGCTGTACCTCACGATATTATGGAACTTGATCGAGCTCAAGCTCGGAATGGGCACGGAGGTGAGCATGTCGCTGGGTGGTTCCCTCTCGTTGAATTCCAAGGCTCCTTCGAGAGTTCCTTCTCTGTCCTTCAGACCGGCCGCCCCGAGTTTGTCTATCTGGGCTTGAATACGTTCCTTCTCTTCCTTGGCCATGTTCGCTTGTTCCTCCTTACTCGGGACGCACTGAATAGCGACGTACTTGTTCTCCACAAAGTATTTCCTCAGTATCTCCAACCAGTACGAGACGGGCTCCTTTATAAGTTTCGAGAGATCCGTTAAAGGATTAACTCTTTGCTCCAGCTGCAAAAAAAACTTATAAATAATACCATAACGGTGACCGATACCGCCTTACATCTCCTTTGGTGTTTCCGTAGAGCATATGTCCGATTATCATGAACGCCACGGTGTGGTGTGGGCTGTTCTCCACGTTACTGAGACTCTCCAACTTGTACCTGTTGATGATGCTCTCCATGCGTTCCATGTTAATGTCCTTGTTGTCGAGGATTTTTTTCAGGAGTTCCTGCAGCTTAGGCCTGATTTCGGGGAGTTTATCCACCGGGACGTCTTCGAAGGTAACATACACGCAAGTCTCCGAGTTTTCGTACAAATTGTAGCATATCTACAAAAAGAAACATCACAGCAATAAAGACGGTACAGCAAAGCCATTTAAATATTTACTTTGCTGGCGTAGGGTTCTTCTATTTCCACAAACTCCTTCGGTAAGGGAGAGACGGAATATTCGGTTAAGTATTTCAGTAGCAAGTTGGTCGCCGTGACTGTGTACAGATCTTTAACAGAAGAAGCGCCTCGCCATGCCATGCTAAATAACCCGTTGCTCTCTTCGTCCGTGGGGTACTTGATGATGAGCTCCTTGGACTCGTCGGTGAGTGGCGGTACCGGGTTCTGCCATGGTCTCTGGAAGGCACCTCTGTCCCCCTATGGATTATGCGACGAGTTTTAGAAAACTGACTGCTTCAGGAATAAATTAGATAAAACTGAAGTGCTCCTTAAAATCAAGATGCAAAACAGTCTAGTGTCAGTTGAAAGCCTCCCCTCTAAAATCAAACTTTGAACTCGAAAGCAAGTGAAGTGGATCATTATCCTGAAGCCAGCTACGATGTACCGAAGGATGACAAGATTGAGAAATCCAAGGAACTAATCACAATCCGCAACTAGCTGGATAGTCTCTTCAGTTCCCCGACGCTCTCCCAATTGAGGTCTGTTAAATCTCATCTTGGGTATGGTCTGTGTTTCTGGGGAAATTCTACAGTTTCTGCTGAGGTTTTTGTTGTACAAAAGATGTTAAGTTGTACGACAGAAATTTCTAGTCATTATACATGTACAGAAATGTTAAAAAATTTAAGAATTCTAACTTTGCCATGCCCGTTTATATTTGAAAAATGTTTGAATGTATTTCACAATAAAAGTAAATTTGCTAGAATAAAAATAACTGTAAACCCTCCAGATTGTTTAAGATTATTGTTATTACAATTCCGTTGTGTTGCATCATATTGCGAATACCACCTCTATCAAATATTATTAAAACTAAACGTTTACAATTTTCTTCTCGTAAATAAATGGGTAAACATCGGCGGATATAGAAATTGACTTTGACGAGGAGACATATTCAGATAAAGAAATGGAAGATCACGAATTGGAGGTTTCTGCAGATAATATATACCAATTTGATGATGAAGAAATAGAAGAAGATGCTGATGAAACTTTCGAAACTGTAGTATATAAATGAGCTAGACTCGAATAATAATTCATAATAACTTCATAAAACTTTTTATATTTAAAATAAAATGATTTCATTAACTGATTAAATTATTGTTTAATTTTAAAAAATATATATATACACTTAAAATTAATTTATATTCAATAAAAATGTAGTATAATGCTTTTTTCTACGATAATTTGATTTTAAAAATTTATTTATATAATTATTGTTTGAACAAATTTTAAATGTTTAAACAAATTGAATATAATGTACGGATAAAAACTATATAAATTCATTAATAGAATAAATAAAATACGAGAAAAGTAAAGCAAATTAAAAAATAGTAATTACCAATATGTTAATAGGTCGACAATTAACAATAATTCGCATTTAAAAATGCAATATTTGGACTTTTCAGCTCGCGAGACATCTATTTAAAAAAAAACATCAAAATCGGCCCACTAGAAACCGAGATAATCAAAATTTTTAAGTGCGCCGCTATTTTGAACGCGTGATTTCAATTTCGAATCGGCCGGAATAGCCGAGCTCTCGACTCCCCCCACCTCTACCTCCCATACATCTTTTGTGAATTTCATGCTCGGTCCCATAGTTTTAATCGACATTTTATATGGGTTGCATAAGGGCGCAAGTTTTGCAAATTCACTCCCAGGAAGTACTCGGAATGACAAAGGTATTTGTTTAAAAAACAACACTCCAGATCTCGTAGTTACGCCAGAAATGCCGGTCAACTGTGATCGACTATAACTCTGGAACCAATTAACGACTCATCACGTTTTTTTTTTTTTAAAAGAAGGGTCCTTCCGAGTACTTTAAAAGAATAATAAAAATACATAATTATAATGAATTTATAAAGTTATTCTATTTGTTTATAAGCGCAAAAATTACACATATCTTTAAACAATTACCACGGCTCTCCTAATTAACGGATTTCAATTTTTCTGAACGCATTTTAAAGTCAGAGTGCCCTTTTTTACGTGATAAAATTTTCAAGTATCTAGACGCCTTAATTTAGGCTCAGTTAAATTTGCAAAAATTTCAATTTTTTTTCAAAAATCTGGATTGCAAAATTATTACTCGAAAACTATCGGACCGATTTTAACGAAAATCGGTGTGATGTTTTATTATATCAAAAAGATTATTATTAAGTATGAAGATCCTAACTATAAGTAAGTACTTTTAAAAAATCACAAAAACATTGTAATTTTTTCACTTTTTTTGTTTTTGCTATATTTGCAATAATGTATTTTTTTATTTGAAAATAGGTATATCATGTGTAAAATTTAATTACGAATATTTTTTTCCTATTCAATTTTTTTCTAAAATTAAGTTTTTGAACTGTGTCTGTGTTTTGAACAGATCCCGCCTAGTCTATTATGTCAGTCGTCAAAAACTGTATATAACATGCAAAATCTGATTGATTTACGTACCTTGGACAATATTTTTTCCTCCAACTTTGCCAAAGAATTGAATACATCCCCAGGCTTAACTTGACCCGTTATAATAATCTTCAAGTTCTCTGGCCTGTAAAACTCTTTGTGGTAATTCCTCACCTAAAAAAAAAACAACTATGATTAAAACAAAAACAATCACTCTTAAAAAAAATATTCAATACTTTCGTGTTGTTAGTGGATTCCCTTAAATTCTTCATCAAGCCGCCAGTTTCCGATGAATAACCACATTTTCCCGGGTAAATATTCCTCGCCACAGTTAAATGTAAGCGAGATTCCGCAGAATTTTCACGGCCCTGCATTTCACAATACACAACACCCGCATCTTGCCCTTCCCCAGTGATATGATGCACTTCAGTTATAAACCCTTCCTCCTGAAAGTAAACAATTGGAAACTATACAATTCGGTTACAGCACAACAGTTCAAACCGTTAAAACCGGATATAGAATGTGTTCCAGGAATATAGGCATCAAGGTTAGAAACCCCTCGCTTCCAGCTGTCTCCATAGTATAGCAAGTATGATCTGTGTCAGTCCAGGCATTAGTCCCAGACGCTAAACAGCGGTTAGCTAACAAATCCAAAACACCTTTGTAAGGGTATTCTTCACTGCCCAGAAATATGAGGTGTTCCAAAGTGTGTGGTAACCCATCATCGTCGAATGCTTCGGTTACTAAAGGAAATTAGACAGTTTTCGATAGAACTTCAACAAACAAATGTACAGTTTACCTAGACAGAAATATCCGTTAACGACAGGTCCATCCACTTCTGCTATTACAATAGTCAGGCCAGTGTTCTTCGAGATATACTCAGAAATAGGAATCCTATTGTAAGCTTGTAAAGAATGAAGCAGTTCGAAATTTCCCATATTTATGTTAGGTGTGTTGTCAACCGGTGGCATTTTTGAGGTTAGGCCAGCTCCGCTTGCTGAATAATGCCTCGGTTATTAATTTTCTATTTAAAAAATATTTTCAAAAATTATCTAGCTTGTTAATTCAAATATAAGTTGTATAATATTCACCAAGCACTTATAAGGAATAAAAGAAAAAGAAAAAATATCGAAAAAAGTTGCATTAAAATATATCCTCTATCTCTGTCTAACCAATTGTAAATTAATTGAAGCTAGCCTATTAGAAAAGGAAAAAGTAAGAACTTTGAGTGGTTTGGGAAAAACCGGTAAACTATTTTTTGCGAACTAGCGTATTTAACCTGTTTTAGTAAAAAGTTTTTACTAAAAACATTTTGACGTCATAACAAATAAGTCAATCAGTCAAGTTGGTTACAAGTTACAATTTACATTTTTATTTACATTTCTAAATGGGAGTGGAGTGTATATATTTCTAATGTGCTAAAAGATTAAGAACATAACAATATATTTTTCTGAAGATACTAACCGCAATGTCAATATTTGTGTTTGAACCACCTTGTATTGTTATGTTATATAATTATGATATGATACAGATTATTATACAGGAAATTCCAAATAGTTATATTTAGTAAATATATATACAGTTGCTTTTAGCACTTTTAGGCAAATTTCCGAGACGTGAACTACTGGAAGGGGAATAAATTTACTGAGTGTCCCACAAAATGAAAACGATAATTTTTTTTAATGGAAGAAGTGAAATGTTTTAAAATAAAAAAACGTAAAATATTTAAGAAAATCAATAAAACAACACATTTACAATTTATTCATTATAATTTTTGGTATAAAAATGAACAGTAAAATTAAATTTTTCCTCGTTATTATTATTTTTCGCAACTCCTTGCATAATTTTTTATCTTTGCCACAAAATTAGCACTTCTATGACGACGGGATTACCACACCTCAATACAAATTTGATAAAAAAACACGTCATTCGATTGATATCTCGGGAAATGCCTTCCCATAAAGGCCTTTTGTTTATCGACTTCCTGCGCATTTGCGTGAAGTCTTTTAATATAAAAAAGAGCCGCCTTTGAGTTTTATCAATCAGTATTAAATTCATTTTCACGTTTGTTGGTATCGTTATCAGTCAGTTCAAAATTAAGATGTGTCTATTAGCTAACTGTTTTGCCATAATTTTTGTTACTCTATTTGTTCAAATTCAATGGTAAGTATATTATTTCTTTACATGAAAAAAATGTATGCCTGGTAAATTGTTTCATTGTATTTTGTTATTCTACAAAAAACAGTTTCTCGGACTGTTAAAAAAAATGTATACAAAATGTTTATAAAATATTTTAACTTTTTTGTAAATTATATTATTACGCCCATGTCTGCAATAAAAAAGCGTTACACATATCCTTATTTGGCAATGTTACTACTTTTTATGTCCGTAAGCTTTGTACTTACTCAAAAGGTAAAACTGTGGTCGCGAACAAATAAATATATATTTGGATTCAATATTCATACCTTTGGCATTCCTGGCATTGATATGTAAAGTTAATCGCACACTGTTTCTTTAATTTAAGCATCTCATGATTTAAATGACGTTGGTACATCTATTAGATGAGATAATATCTTTGATCCAAAAATATAAGCATGCTATTTTATTTAATTTTATGGTAATGTCTGTCTGATGTAACGCATATGTTTGACAAAAAAAGGGAAATAAACTGAGGTGTTTATAGTGACTAGAGCACCCGTTAGACTTAGAACCGCTCTGAAAGGATAGAACGAGACGGGAGGTTGTAAATAAGTTACATTTAAAATTACACGACATTTTCCAGACACTTTCTCTGTAAAATTCTTTTCCTCATATCAATAACAAAATTAATATTCCGTGGCCATCGATGGAATGCCGTTCGACTACAAATTAAAAAAATTTACGTCATACGATTTATATCTTGAGAAATACCATTCCTTAAAGATGTTTTATTTACGGGCTTCCTGTGTACTTACCTGGAAGTCTTTAAGTATAAGAAAGGTCTCCCATTTCTCATTATTCAGTTTTCATTCATGTTCAACTGTGCTCGTATCAATTTAATCCTAATGTTTTGCTCGGTCGCTGGTATCGCCATAATCTTTGTCGGTCTGTTTGTCCAGTCAAACTGGTAAGCGTAAGTGTGCTAAATATTTTTTTTAATCGCAAATTTTGAATTGCGCGTCAAACATACTCGGAGCTAAGTAGTTGTAAACATTTTTGACAATAGGGATACTTCAGTCTTATAAATTTTGATTTGTAAATGAATTAAATTTAACACGTAAATTAAACACGTAACTTCAAAAAATTTGATATAGTACGTAATTCTGCATTTTAGTTAGTATTGTAAATATAGGGGTAACCCTTAATAAAATGTAACTTCTACGCCCATGACATTTTCAAAACGGCATGAAACAAGTTATTTTTATTTTTAAAATGTTTATGTTTTGTAAGATTTTGACATTTATTGCACAATAATTATTGCATTTTCTATTTTTGTTACAATATCTTCAGTTTTTAACAGAATTTTAGTTATACTAACAAAAATAATAACAAAATAAACATAAATTAAACATAAAAATATACAAACATAGTTTAACAGTTTAACATAGTTGTTACATCAGCAGTAAATTAAAAAATAACATAAAAAACTGAAGGCTAGATTTAATAAAGTTGCAATAAATAGAATCAGAAATAGTAATTTTCGAATAAGAAAAATTGTTTTTTTAAGTATGGAAATTTTAGGCAGTTCTGTTGCTAATTTAATGTCGCTCGCAGACCGGCCCTAGCTTTACAGGTTTTTGAGTTATTGTGAAAAAAAAGTTTTTGTGGCGTTTTTTAAAATCGTCTGTAACTTTTTTATTTAGAGCAATTTTTAAAATCTGAAAACACTTTTCCACAGCAAGTTTTTTCAAGGAATTTCACTGTATATTTAGGTTTTCATTGCAACGTTTCGTTTACGAGAAACCATCATCAACTTTCTTCTTTCTTATGGACACCATATTGAATTTTAAACTGAGCAAATAGAGCTTTTTTGGCTCTTCAATAATACAATTATATTAAGTGTATAAGAAAAATTTCAAAAACAACCTAAAAATCAATATTTTAATATTTTTAATAAATCTGGTACTTATAGTCTTTCCGAAGTCATGTAAAAAAATGCCTAGCAATAAAATTTAATTAGTTTCATAGACGTCCCTAAAAAATATTTCTACTAAAGGTAAAAAATTATAATAATTTGTATATGATATCTAGAAAATTTCTATTATATGTTCCTTTGACAAACAACACATTTTAATTATTTATGCCCTCAAACAATTTTATTATAGTGATGGTAAATTTCGTTTTGTTCCATGTTGTAATAATAATAGTAAACAAAATATCCCTCTTATTTCTCCCTTTCGCAATTGTAATATGAATAGGAGATGCCTATAATAAATTAAAATTACCTGAATCACAAATAAATTAAAACTACCTGATTCACACCAAATTCCTCATTGCTGCACTGCACCGCTAGGCCATTTGTTGACAACTAAATTTATGGCCAGATCGCCCAGTGCGGCTGTGTTTGTGCCGCGTTTGCCCGCGCCTTCATTCTTCAACTGGGCGACCAGATCTGTATATGGGTATGGCTAAATAAATATGGGAACAAGTTTTTCAAATATTTCAATGCTGAGTTGTTGCGTCAGCTACCGAACCTAGTACATACTGCCAACCTCTTATTCTTCAATTAATTGAGATTGTAGACTATAACACTGCATAATTTTTCGAAACTGTCACAGAATAGTCTTCAAATCTAATATCTATTCTGTTGTTGTACTCGTGATCTTTAACATTTAAAACCTTTATCTACTATTTTTGTATTTAAAATATTTTACATAAAAATTTTATTTGTTTGTTCTTTAATTTAACTGGATTAGAGAATATTAATATTTTATTCATTTTACAATATTATTTTTTAATGAAAATGAAATACCTATTTTGCTATAATAATATTTTGATAATATTATAGTAACATTTAAAATTTTAACAATGTTGGCGCTATAAGGAATAGGAAATTTAGAAGAGTTTGCACGCCATTTGTTGTAAAAAAAAAAATGATTCACAGAAGATATGTCATTGTTATCACTGTTTATTAAACTGATATAGCGTTCTAAGCAAGAATATTCCATTATACATTACCAAATTTTGTAACAATGGTAACTAATGCGTCCATAGGCGTGCCAATGTTTTTTTTTTCAACGAAAATTATGATGTAAAAATTAGAAACAAAACTATTTCAACCTAAATATAAATCCGTCTTTATCTACTCGATTTTGCTGGTAATAGGTATTTCTTTGTCTGTCTTTCAGCAAATTCTACATAGATGACTTCCAAAAGGACTCGACCGTCTCCACATGGGCGGAACACTCGGACACAGTGATGGCAGAAGGCAAATCCAAGGCCAGCTTCGTCTTGCACGAAACTGGCTACTTCAGAAAGGCCGTCCTGTTCACCATGCTTAACCCACAACCGTGCGGCGCCGCTTTGGCCGGTATAAAGAGAAACATCACTTTGGATATAAGAAAATTCAAGTTCATCTCCCTGAAGATCAAAGGCCAAGGACAGTACAGGGGCTACGAGCTGTTTTTGAAACAGAAAGGGAGCTCTGTGGACGATTATCCCAATTACGTGCATTATTTTGAGGTTAGTTGCAGTGATCTAGACATACCATTCTATCTGTTTCTCTCGCTCTCATGTTAGCGAATATAATGAATTGAAATAAGTGTCTAGAATATGTAATATGTTGCAGGCACCTCTCGAGTATGAAATAATCCATCTGCCCATAAGAAGTTTCAAAGCGTACTGGAAGGGGGAACAGGTCGAAGACGCAAAGCCGCTGGACAGAAGCCACATAACTTCAATGGGAATAGTCGCTTATGGCGGAGCGCACATGGCCAAGAAACAACATGGCGTCGCTGCTCTTGAAATCGAATGGATTAGGTTAGAATAACTCGCATGTAAGGGCAAGTACATATTTATTACCTACGTGAGGCGTTCTACGAAGATCTTGGCAGACGATGCAAAAAGTTTATAAACTTACTTACCTAAGTAAAGTGAACAACTGATTGTGCCATCATGGTGGTGCAACAGAACATCACAGTTTATATAACTTCTACTACAATATTTATCTCCTACTTTTTGGAACATTCTATATGTGTTAAGTTTCTCACCCAGTGTATATTTTATATGGAATAAAAGTCTCGTCAGTATATTTTACCTTTTTTTAATTAAAAAATAACAATAATGTTTTACATTTAACATCGATAATGTAGTTCACGACAAGGAAACCTTTTGATTAGGAATTATTTACATGTTTACTCTATTTACATATCTTACATAACAAAAATATAAAAACGTCCCTAATTTCTGAGATCTATGACAATAGATACCCTGGCGTTGTGTAAGACGATTGTTGTTTAAAAAGTTACGTTGACTAGTTGTTTGAAAGTTGCAGTCGTACAAAAATTGTTTATAAGTAAATATTTCAATCTTCCCTTTCTATGAAACACTCGTCCAGGAAACTCTCCAGGGAGTGGTAGAGGTGCGGACGGACTAAGCCTAAGCCGTGGTCTTCATCTGGATAACTCTGGAAAGAGGAGACAGTTTATGATAACATGTTTTTAATGTAGGTGAGATATAACCTACAAATTATAAGTCAAATCTTAAATGTCATTGTTACTCTGTTACTTTGGACCCACTAGCAAAGAGTGACCTCCTAATAGGTACCTATATATACCAAAAAAGCGTTTTGAATGTTTCTGATTTGTTAAAATTTGAAGAGAAAATGTATTTATTATATATTTATATTATCTCTCGACATTAAATCCGCAATTTTCACTCCTGAATTCCTCCTCTTTCTCGTTTGTCTATTACTAGTCCAATCAATAGGTAGAAGAGCTTACAAAAAATACCACTTAAACCTAACATAAAAAATTCGTAAAAGTCAAAAAAACGGTTTTCCCCTATCGCTAATAAAAAAAAACTTACAACTCCAATCGAAAAAAGTTAAATGAGAAAGTTGTAGCTATTAAAAAAATCTATCGATTCGTTTTTAAAATATATCGATTGCTGTATTACTTTTCGAGATATATCGAAAAAACCGTCAAAAATCGACTTCTTTTGTTTTTCCTGTATCTCTTGCAAATTAAGTTTTTGAATCTTGTTACTTGCTGTAAATGTAGCCCTCAGCAAGCAAAAAAAAGTTTTTAAAATTAAAAAATATTAAAAATTGTTCGAGTTATCAATTTTTCAAAAAAAAAAGTCATCTCAAAAATCGGCTGTTGCTCGATGAATAATCTTAGAGAAACGAATCAGCGCTCATTTTTTCCTTAAGAGATGTACTTTCATGCAAAAAAAAAGAGTTATAACGATTTTATTAATTTCAACTGTCCAAAAATGACATGACATGAAAAAAGTAAAAATTTTTTGATAGGTAGCGTTTTTCTTGAATATCTTTTTCGATTTTTACGCGAATTTAAAAAAAAATGTGGTTCATTTTAGCCACTTCTGCATTTATGATGGCGATATTTTTTGTTATAAATAATTATTAAAATGTTAACAAGAGCTCACCTCTTTGAAAAAAAAAATCTGCTCTAGAAGGTCGTAGAGCAATGTTTTTTTTTAAATTCGTAAAAATGCCAGCAATCGATGTAATAGACATCGAGAAAGAAAAATTGAAAAAAATGTTCAAGAAAAACCCGACCAAAAAATGTTTACTTTTTTCAGTCATTTTTGGACACTTGAAATGAATAAAATCGTTATCACTCTGTTTTACCGTGAAACTCTTAAGTAAAAATATGAGCCCTGATTCGTTTTCTACGACTATTCGGCGAGCAAGAAGAGACGATTTTCGAGATTACTTTTTTTCGAAAAATCGTTATAAATCGAACAATTTTTAATATTATTTAATTTAAAAAAAGGCACTTTTTTGCTTGCTGAAGGTTACATTAACAACAAGTAACAAGTTTCAAAACTTTAATTTGCAAGAGATACCTAAAGCAAAAACAAAAAAAGTCGATTTTTGACGGTTTTTTCGATATATCTCGAAAAGTAATATAGCAATTGATATTCAAAAATACGAATCGATAGGTTTTTTTCTAATAGCTACAACTTTCTCATTTAACTTTTTTCGATTGAAGTTCAAGTTTTTTTTTATTACAGAAAAACTGTTTTTTTTTACTTTTATGAATTTTTTAGGTTAACTTCGCCTTTTATGCTTCGCCTTTTTTATATAGAAATAAATACCTTTGTTAATTATTTTCCTTAAAAAAAATAAATAAAAATATGTTTTTCGGGAATTCTAAGATCTCTAATGGCATGAATTTAAGAAAATATATAAAGACGATACAGTATTGTAAATAGTGATGATCAGTTGTAAATAGTGATGATGAGTGTGAAGTGTACAGGTTAGAATTTTGAAATTTTTTTTTCGAAAATTAGGTTCGATCGCATAAAAATTACTTCAGATTGATGTTCAGTACCATCGAAAATAGGCGCCCAAAATTTTGAGAGATATTAAAGAGCAGATAATTTATAAAATTTGTGTACTGCAAAAAATTAAAGGGTCAAAAGAATTTCCGAAACTTTTCCGTGATTTTTGACAGACTGAATTTAGGTGAAAAATGGTCGTATCAGGAATTAAAAATTTTGAAGCTTTAAGATTCTAGTGTTTAGATCTTTCTGTCGAAATTTGTTAGGAGCTACAGTTGTCATGCAATTCTAAGAAATAGCGCGACGAAAAAATTTTGCAAAATTTTTTTTTTCTGAGTCCACGGACTTGGAAAATTTTTTTTCAGCTAAGCCATTGCATGGACTAGATAGCTTGCTTATTCAGCTTCAATTTTCTTTTTTTTAAATTTCGATGCGACCATATTTCATCGAAATATCGGACTTTTAATGGAAAAGGATCCTTTTGTCTTCAATCATCGATATCTCGGCGACAAATAGTCCTAAAAAAATTATGTTTTCGTCTTTTACAAGAATTTTCAGGAGAAAAGAGTAATTTATGGTTTTTTAGAAAATTAACGGCTAAATTAGAAATATTCACGAAATGACTGAGCATACTTTTACAATTCGATATACCCAGAAGAACCCTGTGAAGTTTCATCTCGATCTAATGAACCGTTTCTTTATTTCAAACAGTCAAACTTTTGAAAAAAATTAAAGGTTCATGTTTTTTGAGCTTAAACACTTTATAATCATGAGTAAAATGGAAAATAAATTTTTTTGAGGTTTTCTCACATTTTTTCCGCAAATAACGTTAAAAGTGAGGAAAAAAAATGTTTTTTTTGTTTTTTGGTAAACCTTCCGGACATTGAAGAAAATAAAATCCAATTGTTTCCAGCACGATTCGCCTTTTCCGTCCTATGCTACTGTTCATCAACTTTTAATTAAATTAAATTTAAAGTTGATGATCCAAACCAGATTTCGAATCCGATTCATACCGTTTTTTGAGACAAATTTCTAATTAATTTGTGTGTAGTCTGTAATAACTTAAAAAATAGTTTTTTTTCTAATTTTTTTTTTCATCAATTTGGACGTTATTTGCGCTAAAAAAGTGAAAAAACCTAAAAAAAATGATTTTCCATTTTAAACATGATTATAAAGTGTTTAAGTTCAAAAAACGTGACCCTTTCATTTTTTCAAAAGTTTGATTGTTTGAAACAAAGAAACGGTTCGTTAGATCGAGATGAAATTTCACAGGGTTCTTCTGGGTATATCGAATTGTAAAAGTCATGGTTAACATTAGTCAATTCGTGAATATTTCTAATTTAGCCGTATTTAGCCGTTCTCTGTACGACCATCTGTCGCTGAGATATCGATGATTGAAGACAAAAGGATCCTTTTCCATTAAAAGTCCAATATTTCGATGAAAAATGGTCGTATCGAAAATTAAAAAAAAGGAAATTGAAGCTGAATAAACAAGCTATCTGGCCCATACATGAAAAAAAACTTCCAAGTCCGTGAACATGTTTTTATTTTATTTTTTATTTGATTTATCACACATTTGTTTAGACCAATTGTACCCCACTTACTTTTTTTAGTAAGTGTAACCACCTGGTAGACATTTACATATTTCTTTTTCTAGTAATTATTTCATAAAATTCGAATAACGTTATAATAAGCTTTAGTATCTTCATAACTAAATATTTGAACAGTTTAAGAACTACTAACAAAATTCGCAATAGTAAATAGAAAAAGTTTGAGAAGAATAATAATTTTATTGAATTTTATACTAACCAGCTGCCTGAACAAAATATCGTTCTGTTCCAGAACCTTAGCCCATAGCATAGACTGCTGGTAGTGCACATTGTCGTCGTAAGTTCCGTGGATCAGGAAATACTCTTTGTTTCTTATTCCCTCAGACTTGGTTAGAAGTTGAGCATTCTCGTAGCCGCTAAGATTATCGTCCGTGGTCGGCAAACCCATGAATCTTTCAGTGTAAATCGAATCTGAAATTGCAAGGATAAAATCAAGAGGTGACAAGTCTGGGTAATTCCACGGCAAACTTACCGTACAACGTCCAATCAGTAACTGGCGCTACGGATATACCACACTTGAACACACCTTCCGTATCGGTGGCCAAAGCCATACCAGCGGCGTACCCTCCATAACTCCATCCCCAAATAGCTGTTCTTGTGGAATCCACGTACGGGAGTGATTCTTGAATCAATCTGTGTGCCGAATTAAACATTATAACGACAACTAAATGAAGCCTTTATTTCTTACCTTGTGACATTTATTTGATCCTCGACCTCAACAGTTCCCAGATTCCTGTAACCCGAAAACATAATTTTGTCCCCTTTCAAACCTGATCCCCTACCATCTATCGCGGCGTAAATAATACTCTTGTTCGCGGCCAAATAGCTACCCCAATCCAACACGAACTTGTCGATGACTTGATACGTATCAGGACCACCATACACATTTATTAACATGGGATACTTCGTATTGCCGCTGGTATCAATATTGGGAGGCAACCTCAGCATAACGTTGGCCTTGAACCCGCCAGCAACATCAAACGACAATTTTTGCATGATAGGAGCCTTGTTGCCTGCTAGCAACGCAGATATCTCTTCGTTCGTGTTCCAAACCGCCTTCTCCTGGCCTTCTTTGGAGTAGATTGACACCCGTGGGACGTTTGGACCTTCGCAGGTGAGGGCGTAGTACGAACCATCCGTGCTGAACTCTGCTGAGTTGTAGGAGCAATCCGTACTTAAGTTTTCTTGACAGGTGAGACACTGGACTGCTTTTGTGTCTACAGAGACGCTGTAGAGGTGTTGGACGGCATAGTCATTTGCTGTGTTGGCTAAATAGTATCTAGAAGGTACGATCAATGATTGACTGAGCGTAGAGAAAAAAATGTGACTCACATTAAGTTATCCTCTTGGTTCCAAGAAAGGATTTCTGTAACCACGAAGGTTCCTGCAGTAAGAGGTTGTTCTTCAGCGTTTTCTTCCCTGTTGAACAAGACTATGTGGCGATAAGAACCGCTGTCTCCTCCTTGGTCTTGTGATAGGATTAGGATAAGTTTTGAGCCATCGCTGGAGAATTTTGGAGGAGTGAATAGTTCCAACCACCCCTCAGTGGATTCCAGACTTTTTATCTAAAGATAAAAATGGATTCTTTATACTTGGCAACAAAAGAACAGATTCCAAATTACACTTTTACATATGTAGTGCTGCTACTTACAACTGTAGGCGTAACTGAGCTAGCAGAGGTGTCATACGTTGTGATTGAGGCCTGATTCTGTACGCGGTTCATCCAAATCGTGGAGACAATGTCGTTCGTGGCCCATTCGACGGTGCTTAGTATGGGATCACTAAAATTGGAAAGTTAAGCAAACTATGTGGTTGAAAATTGTATTACAGCAACATTCATAATAGCTGTAACACAACAAAAAAAGCGACTAAAAAAATTCGTACTTTTCTAATGCTGTTGGTACTTGTAAGTCAAGTTCTGTTCCAGGATTGCTTAAAGTAACAACGTGTAGGGTGACAGTAGGATTGGTAGTACCAGCCTGAAAGTTGGAAAAATTGAAAAATGCGGAAACGCAGGTCTTTAGGTCAGACCAAAATGTTAAGATTTTTTTGAGAATTAAGAAAAGTTGACACCAAGTCAACAGCGAAATATTGGTAACGGTTTTTTTGACAATTTTGTGGCAGGTTTTCCTAAAAATTAGTCAAAGCTTATTTGTTTGCAATTAACTCTCAATTATCTATTCCTACCTCTCTAACCTTCAAACTAATTAAAACTAAAGCCTTTTACTTACTTTCGGGTACTTGATGAGATTTGCTCTTGGATATTGGAACAGCATACTACCAGGTTCTCCATAAACTGGAATCACCATAACAGGTACTTGAGTGTCGTTAAATCGCCCAAAAGCTAGTTTGGTTCCATCAGGAGAGAACCACAGGGCTTTGTTAGAACTAAACACCTCCTCTGAAGAAAAAATTGATTAAACCAACAAAATATATGACTATTCCGTTTAGTGTAATGGTTACAGACCTTCATATACCCAATCGGGGATCCCATTCGTAACGAAATTGGAGGTAGAAGTGATAGTGACAGAATCCTCAGACGTTGCTGAACTCTTGTAGTAAATGTTGTTCTCATATACGTATATCAATGCATTTCCGACTGGTGCCCAAGCAACCAGCTGAACGGACTGATTTGATGCCATTAGATCGTACTTGGATCCTGTGTTGATGTCGATGATCTGGTACTGAGCCTTGAAACTGTGTCGGTACAACTGGAGGAAATCGGTTTGGATTTTAACAGTTTCCAAGTAATTTATAAGAGATCAGAATTAAATGAATGACAGGTATAAAAATCGTCTAAACTTACCTTTTGGTAGTTGTAAGCCACGAGAAGGTAAAGTCCGTCGCCAGATAAATGGTAATCAAATGCTGTGAGCAATACCTAAAACGCACCGTATATTTTTATTTTACTTACACAATTTACAAAACCTTACATTATCGGTGGAATCTAAGAGTATCTTGGACGTTGAATTTTCCATGTTAAGGAGGACCAAGTTGTCATCAGAATCTCGATACAAAAGTTCAGTCCCTGTAAAAAAAATTAATGCGTCAAAAATTAAAATGATTAGTACCTATACAGGGTGATTCAAAAAACCGCTGACTTCTAGAGTAAGTAATACCTGAAAAATTAAGACGAAAAGTCTTAATAAACATAGGGTCGCAAATGCCTCCTTAACGAGATACAGGGCGTTAAAGTTTCTGTAAAATTAAAGCGAAAAGATGACAAAAAGAAGCTTATAATCTAGTTTACTTAACTCACTTGTACACATTGACATTAGTGACAGGCGATGTTTAATTTTATTTTGAATAGCACAAGCCTACTGTGCGAAACTAAAATGAATGAAAATAAAATTGGATTTACAAATTTTCTACAAAGGTGTTTCTCTTAAAAATGGTTGCTTTAATCCAAATTTTGCAAGAGACCAATTCGATAGACAATTGAACACTTTACACGAAAATAGTGCCCGTTTGACAAAATTAGCAGTGGCGTAGAAAATATTTTTAAAAAAGGGTGACGTTGACCCAGTATTTACGACACTGCTGCTCATAAAATTTTGAGCAGTACATCAAACATTGGTCTTAAGGTGCTAACTACGCATAGCAAATTTGAAATAGAAATGTTCAGGCATTTTGGAATTATTGCAGACAATGTTTAATTTTACAGAAACTTTGACGCCCTGTATCTCGTTAAGGAGGCATTTGCGACCCTATGTTTATTAAAACTTTTCGTCTTAATTTTTTATGTATTATCCACCCTAGAAGTCTGTCAGCAGTTTTTTGAATCACCCTGTATATTTTAATTGGTAGAGGGTAACCATTTATACAGGGTGCCCCATAATTAGTGTGCAATACTTTAGCAGTAGATTCTACAATCAAAGATAAGATTATTTTTTCCTATAAACAAGGGTCGAAAAATGCTTCCTAAGGAAGCTACGCCCGCCCCCTAAAAGGGCTTCATGAGATCATATTTTTCAAAATATTTCCAAAACCAGTTAACGTATCATTATGAATTTTGGTATGTTGGACATTCAATAACGAACTACAAGAAAACTGCTTAAAAATTTTAGTCAGGGGTGTTTCAGGCAAACAATGATAGATATGAAATTTTCACAAAAAAAAAATGTACTCTTGATTTACTTCGACAAAATGCTTCGTTTTCGAGAAAAATCGATTTTAAAGTTTTATTACATAATCGCAAGAATGGAAAAGGATTACATGAATTACATGATTACAGGTATGCAGGCCATGAAAACTTGAATTAATTTGTCAGATTATTAAACTCAAATTTTTGCTTTCATTTCAGAAAAAAATATAAAATGCAAAATTTTAATAATCGCGAGCTAGCAGACATTCATTTTGTGTGTGGATTTTGTAAAACCAATGGCGATACCCGAATCGGAGACAACTTGGACGTAGAATATTTTCTACGATCCATAGATGTTTTTTTTATAAAACTTCGCAGTCAAGGAAGGCCATCAAATGATTATAATTTTGAAAATGCCTCAACTCAATTTGATTATCATCCTAATATCAGCATCCGCACAATGTCAAGAGTCACTAATATTCCATGAACAACGGTACATAATAAGAAATGTAAGAAACGTGTATTAAAACTAATCCAAAGCTCTCATTTTAGCTTTCACGAATGGTCACTATCCAAGGCCTTTATCATTGTCATAAGTCAGAGGATACAAGACTTAAGAAATGAAGATTTTATTTGTAGGATCGAATTTTCTCAGTGGATCATTAATAATGAAAACTTGCTTCCATTAATTTTCTGGACCGATGAGGCGACTTTGACCAGAGATGGAGCTCTTAATTTTCACAATACCTACTATTGACAATCCGAAGGTAGCTCGGCGTAATAATTTCCAACACAGGTTTTCAGTTAATCTGTGGGCGGGGATTATCGGTAACAAATTAATTGGACCTGTTGAAATTCCAAATCGGCTAAACGGTGAAGCTTATTTACATTTTTTACAAAATGAATTGTTTAATTTATTGGAAGATGTACCTCTGAATATTAGAGGAAACAAGTACTTTCAGAACGATGGAGCTCCAGCTCATAATAGTAGGAATGTGAAAAACTGGTTGAACAAATATTTTCCAGAAAGGTGGATTGGACCAAAAGGTCATATTGCCTGGCCACCTCGTTCACCTGATCTTAATCTTCAAGATTATTACTTATGGGCACATTTAAATAGTATCGTTTATAACAACGAAATAGATACCAGAGAAGAATTATTAGAAGAAATAAATTTGGCCTCTAATATGCTAAAGAACAATGAATTTGAAATTCTTCGTGCTTCTCATGGAATAAAGCGTAGAGCTATGCTGCGCATTCAACAAAACGCCAATTATTTTGAGCAATTACTGTAACGTGTTTTTTAGTTTTTAATAATTTATTATCTGATTTATTGCAGAACTTCAGTTGACTACTGTGCATATCAGGTTTGTTTCTGTAGTAAATTACTGACAGTTTGCAAACTATTTCCATTACGCATGCACGGATGCCAACAGTCTACAAACGGTTTCTGATTTTTGAACGATGCAAGAATGGTTACTAAATTTGTAGTTTGAAATGAAGAAGAAGATGGACGTGAGATATAATTTGTAAATCTAAATAGATATTTTTCGAAAACGAAGCATTTTATCGAGTCCATTTTTTTGTAAAAAAAAAAACATTTCTATCATCATTTGGAAATATTAGAATAATCATCAAATTGATTTAAGGTATTTTCAAAATTATTTGGTGGTCTTCCTTGACCGAGCAGTTTTCTAAAAGATCCATTTTCCGTTAATCGTCTATGGACCGTAGAAAATATTTTACGTCCAGGTTACCTCCGATTCGGATATCTCCGTTGGTATTTTCTTGGTGCCGCTAATGATCTCCATTACAAAATCCATACACAAAATGAATGTCTATTAAAATTATTATTAAAATTCTGCATTTCTTCTTTAGATTTTACTTAATACAGCACCGTAAAGTGAAAGCAAAAATTTTAGTTTAATAATCTATCAAATTAATTAGAGTAAACAAACGTTTGTTTTCATGTTCTACCTACCTATTCATGTAATCCTTTTTCATTCTTGACACTATGTAATAAAACTTTAAAATCCATTTTTCTCGAAAACGAAGCATTTTATCGAAGTAAATCAAGAGTGCATTTTTTTGTGAAAAACTCATACCTATCATGTTTTTAAATTTGAAAATATTGACATGCAAAAATTTGGGGGCGCATTTTACACGTGAGCCCCCCTGCCTAAGACACCCCTAACTAAAATTTTCAAACAGTTTTCGTGTAGTTCTTTTAGGGGGGCGTAGCTCCCTTAGGAAGCATTTTTCGACCCTTGTTTATAGGAAAGAGTAATCTTATTTTTGATTGTAGAATCTACTGCTAAAGCATTGCACACTAATTATGGGACACCCTGTATATGCGTTCCATGCGAGTTTACCAAGGCACTGGTTAAGAAAATTTTTAAAATAAGACCTCAAACTTTAAATGTTTCAATTTATGTATTTAATGAAAATCTTTTATTGAAGAATAGAGTTTTGACAAATGATATAATAACATTCGAGTAGAGCACGTGAAAATTTCTGCGCCTTATTGCAGTATAATTGTGTGTTTTTAACGCGTAAAAGTTTATTTAATCCGTGATATAATAAAGTAAGCAGCTACTGCCTCAATTTTTGCCTCGAATAACCGTTTTTCAGTACAAATATAAAAATATCACGGCGCCACCCTTGCACTAAATCAAGCCACCACCATGCCCATGCAGTTGCATGACAGTCCCGTATCGAAATTATTTATGCCAAGTTTAAAGTATGATTTACCATACCGTAAAATTAGAAACGGCGTCAGGTCGGGGTGAGGGAAGTATTTTCACAACCCCTTTGTAAGTAATAGCATAATTAATAAACAACGTATCATTTCCTGTATTAAAGAACCCATAAATAATGAGCAGGTCATTAAAAGGCGATTATATTTGACTTGTGGCGTATACAGGGCGTAACTAAATGATTGGACAAACCTTAATGGCGGATTCTACGTCATACATTAACGAAAAAAGTCTTTGCGTCGAGAAACGTTCCGTTTTTGAGATATTAGGTGTTCAATTGAATAAAAATATAAGATTTATTTGTAATTACGAAAAACAGATGAATAACATAAATCATAATGAGTAAAATAATTAAAACGAAATTGATTTTTTAATTGAAGAGAATGAACGGAAATAAACAATCTTATATTGTCGTAGTGTCATTCACAAGAGGATTTCAAATTTTCACTCATGTTTCCAAAATAAACCAATAAACTTCAATTAGCCATTCTTGAGGCATAAATCCTGAAAAAGTTGAACATAGACGCACTCCAAAGAGGCCTTCCTGCATATAGGGTAAGGCGCATTATCCATGGCAATCTCTGCACCAGTTTCGAGTTTCGACGTGAGACAATACAGATGCAAATAACCCGAGCACAGGTAAACCATTATCCAAAAAGCTTGCCGCTAAGTAACATGTAACATTTTTAACCTTAAGGATACAGGTAGTGTAAGTGTACCTCTAGAAATCGGCGGAAGAAATGTAAAATGGACGATTGCGTGTAACGGACTGAATGAATTATATAAATACCTACATTTGAAAAACTTCCCCAAGTGTGGAATATTTATCACCGAACGTCAGGCACGTGAAGTGCTGTGAAGATAAGGTGGTGGGGTGGTAAAGCGGCCATAAAAACCCCAAATAAATTAGGAGAGCGTTGTTTGGAAGGTATCCAACGACTTCCGACTCACTTAATTCGCAACGGCGTGCTGGGCTTGCGATCGTCCGTCCATGCATCAATCAATGAGGCAGACGAATTGCTCGACCTTGACTTGTCGGACTATATTTTGTACGTCTTGAAGGTAAAACATTGTAATTCTACACGTTTTAAAAGATGATTGATGATGATTTTAGTCTCTATATTGAGCCAAAGTTACGAGCGACGTGACGGCTACATTTTCATAAGGGGGAGAAACGCCTATAACTAT